TCATCACCAGTATGAAACCGGCTCAAATAGATAGCGTGCTCAGGGAGCAGCTGATCTCCAATGAATGAAATAATTGGCTAAATGACAAAGACAGGCCTGGAAGCGAAGAGAAGTAGTGGCAAGCCAGTCAAATAATTTATAATTAGATTAGGATCAATTTGGGGAAAAATTTTGAGAGAGCGAGAGAAAGATGCTATGATGGCCAGCATACTTATTTCTCTTTCCGTTTAAACTCCGGCTAATCCGTGCCAACGAATGTGCTGTGGCCAAAATTTCGCGCCATTTGCAATTTTTGTTTAATATTTATACTAACATAGTTACTCGATCTTGTCGAAAATAGGATGAAGCGTTTTCACTAATAATTTAAGAGTCAGCATAGTAACCATCAAAAATGGTATTATGCATAGATCGGGGTATTGGATAGGTGAAGAGACGAGGTAGTAAAATATCAACGCCCCCAAGTGGTAGGTGTATGAACTAAGTGAATCTGTTGTCAGACAACTCAGCTGTAACTAAACTTCATCGTAGAATCGAGAGACGTCACTGGAAACTACTCCACAGTCCGGAGCTATTTTACGCGGATATCGTCAACCCAGAAAGCATTTCGCTTCAGCACCAATAATGACAGGAGAAATAATCCAGAAAAGAAAGCAATACGTGTGTCTATTTCTAAAACGAGGCATTATAAATATTTGTACTATTTATATTGCTCGGACTGTTGTCCTCATCTTTGTTGCCATATTCACGACATTTCGGCCGTTGTATACTCTGGACTTCTTCAGGATCTGTCTATAATTCTAAGATGAGATACTGTAATTATTTACACTATTTGTATTGTTCGGACTGTTGTCCTCATCTTTATTGCCATATTCACGCGCATGCGCGAAATTAAAAATATACATGACGACAATTTACCCATCACACTCAGAAAGTTGATAGGACCGGGTAGTAATTTTGTGGCATGTCTGTATTCATCTAAGGGTTTAAGAAGCTTGGCCATCAAGAACGACCTGATAGGAAGTACTTGAGGATTATAAGGAGTCCTCCAGAGATTCCATAGCTGGAGAGTTTTTCTAGCAATTCCTTATGCCGGACCTTACCAAATTCCTTTGAGATATCTAAGCAATTGTGATGAACATTTTATCGAGTACCTCAAAAGTAAAGACATCACCATCCACAGATCAAATCACAAATCCAATCCAAACTTCATGTATTCGTGGTTGGCCTAATCCTCAAAATGTACATGTTTAAAACTTTTATTAAACTAAAACCAGTTTACTTTATAGAAGGGCAGATGAATGATGAGATGTCAATTTTCTTAAATAGATCATTAATATACAATCGAAAGAAGGAAGGACACTGGTACATTGATAAAGCAAAAACCCTACGTGCTCCTTATTTTTTAATTATTTTTTACACTGATGTTCACCCTGTACAAGTCCCAAGAGCCACTCAAGGGAGATGGTTACAGAGTAACAGTTTATGCGGATATGTAGGGGATATAACGGTTGACCCTAGACTTGAACAGGTTAATATTGTAGAGATTGGGAAAGCATCTCCTTGGGAGTCTGTTCCACAAAGTTGAGTTTCCTTATGCTTCTAGATAGAGTTAAGAATGATTCTTGAAATCATTGATGTTTTAATGTAGTGGTCGGGGAAGCAACTTCTTGGGAGTCTGTTCCACAAAGCAACGGTTCCTTATGTTTCTAGATAGAGTTAATGATAATTGTTGAAATGATTTGTGATTTGGGAGTCTGTCCTGCAAAACAACGGCTCTTGGAGAAAAAGCAGCCTGAATTAAATTTCCTTCATATTAGCACTAAATTCCTGAACTGTTGAAACTCGAGAATGTATCTTGTCAAAATGGTTTCTTTGGAAAGACCAATATAGTAGTGATAGTCATGTCGTTTGCATATGTGAGAAATCGTTTGTAGTGTGAAAAATAATTCATCACCCAAAAGGCCATGTTTTGAAATGAAACAGAACTTTTGAACTCTTTTGACGTTGGAAGAGAAAGAGAACTGGGCCGGTACAGCGTAACTATGACAGCAATATACCATTTTTGGCAGGATCTGTCTAGTTGGTAAAGAAGAAAAAGGGCGGGGGAGGAATTCCGTACTTTCTAGAGAAGTACAAGGAACTGACTATTTTTCAGAATCCTTTGCGATTAATCATATATATGTATCCCACTTAGGGTCGTGAAGAACTTGAATTCCAATAGATGCTCAAAACAAGGAATCTTTTTAAGAGTGAAACCATTTATCAAGACGAATGGAAATTTATGGTCCGCCGGGTAAAAACGAAATTTTACTTTTTTTTTGTCTTTAATGTATTGAATATTACACGCCAGTTTTCTCCTATTGGGCTGTTAGAGCTTGATCAGATGGGTGATCAGCTGCAAGGCTCCGGTCATTATAGATTCTAGGAGGTGCAACCATACACTGTGGTAACATTGTAATAGATATGTTCTAACAATCTGAGAATATTCTTAGGCAGATCGTTAATATAAGGTAGAAATAATTTAGGTGCGTGCAATGGGTGCATTGTGAGACATTTGCGTTTATCTCAGGAACCCGTGACCTACTAGGACCTATTAGAGAGAAAGGACTTGATAATTGCAAGGAGCTTTCCAGAAATTTCAGAACTTTTCTAGCAACACAGCCTTATGTCGAAATCTTTTACTCGGATAGAACACGTGTCGTTTATCCAAAGCAGCAGGGTACCAGGCTTCGAGACAAGATCACTTGCAAGCGAGGAATTAAAGATTGACTGGATCAAGAGGTGTTTAGAAAGATTGCACGGAGATGAGCTGTCATTATTTATCTTAACCATTTCAAGTCTGCGGACAACTGTTATATATCCTACATATTCTCATAATCTACGATTCTGAGTTCGGTAAACACAAGACTATTCAGTAATCCTCTAGAGTAGTGCCTGCAGTTTAGTGTAATCTCTTTGCTATTGATCTGGCCTTTTCACATCTATCTATCTATCTATCTATCTCTCTCTCTCTCTCTCTCTCTATATATATATATATATATATATATATATATATATATATACAATAGATCAGCATCTATCTATCTATCTATCTTAGTTCATTATCATAGTTCACTATCTATATATCTTACTTCATTATCTATCTAGCCTTTTTACATTTATCTATCTGGCCTTTTCTTATCTATCTATCTATCTATCTATCTATCTTAGTTCATTATCATAGTTCACTATCTATATATCTATATCTTAGTTCATGATCTATCTATCTATCTATATATATATCTTAATGATTAAAATATCCACTTTGCTAATTTTATCTATCTATTTATCGTATATCTTAGTTCATGATCTATCTATCTATCTATCTATCTTAATGATTAAAATATCCACTTTGCTAATTTTATCTATCTATCTATCTATCTATCGATCTATCTATCTATCTTCATAAGCCGTAGAAAATGAATGAATGAATCCAACTTTTTTTTTCAATCGAAGTCGGAGGCTCATTCAAAAGTTAATGTCTGTCCACCTTTAATTAGAACAAATTTCAAAATAGAAACATTAAACGGAAACCAAATGAACGCATGCGCATATCAGTCACGTCAAAATGTGTCGCAAGTGGCTGGCTCGAATGCAAATAGAATCCGTGATGGGTCAGAAGGGTTTTTTTTTGTCACCAAAATGCTGAGATGGAATCCTGATCTGACCCTCTTAGAATTTCCAACAAGGTGTGGGTGGGGGCACTCAGTAATCGTCGGTTCTCCAATGATTATAAAGGGAAAGAAGTAACATAAACATGGCGACGAAACTAAGCTAGGGAGATTCGTCGTCCTTCATTCACAGGTGGAATGTCCTGATTGCTAATGAAGGAGATTACGTTGTCGACTAAATTTCTTGATACGTTTATCTTCATTTTGGAATGCATAATGTTTCTATTATGAAATCTATTCTAATTAAAGACGAACAGACATTAGCCTTTCACCAACTGTCATACCACGAATGAATCCTGATATATTTGCGTTCATTTTAGCATTGCTTTGTGTGCTTCTATTATTAAATCAGTTGTAATTAACGAAGCAGAGGCATTACTTTTTGACCGAGCATCGTACCTCGATTGAGATGAAAGGAAAATATTTTGACGACTGATACGCGCATGCGTCGATTTTGAAATGCTTGATATTTTTATTCTGAAATCTGTTCTAATTAAATTGTTAAAAGACCAGATAGATAGATAGATAATGAACAGTCTGAGATAGATAAATATGAACAAACTAAGATAGATAGATAGATAGATAGATAGATAGATAGATAGATAGATAGATAGATAGATAGATAGATAATGAACAGTCTGAGATAGATAAATATGAACAAACTAAGATAGATAGATAGATAGATAGATAGATAGATAGATAGATAGATAATGAATAGCCTGAGATAGATAGATAGATAGATAGATAGATAGATAGATAGAAACTAAGATAGATAGATAATAGATAGATAGATAGATAGATAGATAATGATTATAGATATTAGATTAGATAGATAGATAGATAGATAGATAGATAGATAGATAGATAGATAATGATTAGTCTTAGATAGATAGATAGATAGATAGATAGATAGATAGATAGATAGATAGATAGGAACAAACTAATAGATAGATAGATAGATAGATAGATAGATAGATAGATAGATAGATAGGAACAAACTAAGATAGATAGATAGATAGATAGATAGATAGATATGAACAAACCAAGATAGATAGATAGATAATGATTAGTCTGAGATAGATAGATAGATAGATAGATAGATAGATAGATAGATAGATAGATAGATAGATAATGAATAGTCTGAGATAGATAGATAGATAGATAGATAGATAGATAGATAGATAGATAGATAGATAGATACCCTTTCCA